AGGCATCGCGGCCGTGGCCAGCCACGCGACGGAGCCTAGATTTATAGGAACAAAAAAAAAACAAAAAAAAAACAGAGGGGGCCTTGCTCCACTATTCTTGACATGGACAAGGGACAGAAATCAAGGGCGCTGTATCTTTCCATGTTCTACAGGAAGATTCACTCTCGTTTTGCACATTTTTGCACATTTCGAGAAGTAGTGGAGCCATGCAAATGGCAAATGTGCAAAACGGGAGTGAATCTTCCGCTATTTCACTCTCCCGCTACAACATGGAAAGATGCACCACCACGAGGCCCCAAGGATGGCACGCATAGGTCGAGAAATCTGAGAAAGGAAAAAAAAGAGAGAAAAAAAAAGAAAAGAAACTGGGTTTTTGTCAGCACGTGTCTCCCTAGGGCCTCGGCGTTATTCCCCGTTGCACAGAAGACAAAAATCATGGAGCTGTATCTTTCCATGTTCTGGGGAAGATTCACTCTCGTTTTGCACATTTGGAGATCAGTCGTGGAAACCGAGAGTGAATCTCTCGGTAGAGCATGGAAAGATACAGTGCGACGATCTTTTCTTTGTTTTCTTCTTTTCTTTTTTGGAAAACGGCCTGGCCCTCCAACGTGGATGACTAGACTGCAGTTACAAACTCAGTCCTGCGACAGCCACGCTACGGCGGAGTTTGGTCTGCAGTGTAAACTTAAACCACCAGTACTTGGCCCATACATCGGCCGCCTTTAACGCTACACGTTTCCCGGGCTTCGGCAAAGGCTTGGCATGGCAATGGGGGAGGGAGCTGGTGGCCCCATGGAAAGGGGGCAAAAGGACTGCACAATGTCCTGGTGGTGTGTTATGTGGAACTAACCAGCCCAGGTAAATTCAATCTTGTGTCTAATCTGACAATGGTGGCCTGATAGCCTTAGGGTGGCCTGATAGCCTTCAGGGAACCCTCAACGGGGGGACACCGGCCAGGGGACAGCCAGTGGCAGAGGGACCGAGCATCATCTGAGTGGCCAGTCGCTGTGCCTCCCTGGCTTTTTCTGAAGAAGATCGGTGGCACTTCGTGATCTGACTCCCCGTTGGACACGGGGAGCATTGAGTGCCTGGCAGTGTCCAACGGGGAGCATTGAGTGCCTGGCAGTGTAACGTTCACACTCTCCCAAATGTATCTAGATGTAAAACGTCTGGCAGTGTAACGTTCACACTCTCCCAAATGTATCTAGATGTAAAACGCGTCATGTGACTGCATAGCTTGGTTTCCCTTTTCACCCGTTTTTTTTTTTTTTTTTGAAGAAGATCTTTCGCACTGGCTGCACTCCTGGCGAGGCTTCGGGTGCCACCTGAGTGGAACCAAGAAAAGGACGGCCTGTTTACGTTCCATCTGCTGGCAGCAGGTCCAGCATAAGAGGCGGCACCTGCTTGAAGCAACAAATGTCCCGTATTTTTTCCCATTCACTGCAGGCTCGGCAAAAATCGGCGCGCAGGGCATATTCAGGCTCGGCTTCAATAGCTGGGCCAAGTACTGGTGGTTTAAGAGGGGACTGGACTCCAAAACCGCAGTTTGAAATGTATTTTCAAACTGTAACCCTGACAGCGCCCTACTTTTCTCTTTTTTTTAATACTAGGTATCCGTTTACATAGTCATCGTGCTGAAAATGCGTTGAAACTTGAAAAGGAATTATCAGTGATGTGTCGGGGCAGCCGCCGCACCTACATCTACATGGTGGGCATTGTACGCAAGAGGTCCTGAACAGGGGGAGTTGTAAGGAAGAAGTTAAAAAAAAAAAAAAAAAAAAAAACGAAATTTGTTTTCTTGTTTTCTTGTTTTCTTGTTTTCTTGTTTTCTTCTTTTTTTCGTTTTTCTCGTTGTTTTTTTCGCTTTGCGCTCTGATAATACCGGTCCTCCGGGTTCTTTTTGGTATCCTAGTTGGTTGCTTCCCGTTGTTCGGCCTATCAATGGCGACGGTGCTTTTATGTGGGAATCATCATCCAGGATTCTTTTTTATGATGTCCCGGTACGAATTGCTTACGATGACGCCGAATAGGAATACCAACTTCTTGATGTCGAACAAGGCCATCTGCTGTGTATAGATATGTATCTGGGACTTTTTTTAATTTCTTTGCAGACAAGAAATTTTTGAATTAAACGAAGATATTAAAAAAAAAACAAAAAAAAAAACAAAAAAAAACCATCCTGGTTGGTCTTATCCCGTCGTTTGGCCTGTGTAGGACTGGGGCGGTGTTTGCATGTGGGACTTGTCGTCTGGGATCTGTTTTGTTGCCCCCTGTTCTGTTTTATTTGGCTGTTCCCTTCCTCTTTTCTTTGCCTCTTTGCCTTTTGGCTATGTGCAAGTGGGTCGATATGACACACGGGGGTGGGGGCAGCCGCCGCTCAACCTACATCCACCTGGGCGGCCTTGTACGCAAGAGGTTCTGAACAGGG